GATCTAATGCTGGGGCAGCTGGCCAATTAAAGGGGGAAAAAAGAAGGGAGGAAGTTTTAAGGCAGCTGTGCTCTAATTGTATCTCAGATCTAATGCTGGGGTAGCTGGCCAATTAAAGGGGAAAAAAGAGGGGAGGAAGCTTTAAGGCAGCTGTGCTCTAATTGTATCTCCTGCAAATCTGGACAGCAAGAGCAAGAGTACAACAAAGAAGTTTGAAACAAGACTAAAGTGAAAACATCCTCCTGTCTCTCTGCTGATTTTTTTCTTCCTACTTTCTCCTTTGGTCCCTTAACTAGTCTAGTACTAGGACAGCATGCCTTAAAAAAGAAGAAATAAACAGAACAGGAAGAGAAGAAGGGAACAAGCAAGCCAGGCACCAGGTGTGGGGAGGAGATGATTCGACTCCTCTGTGGTCAGCTGAAGCAAATTAACCCAGGAAAACCTGACTCCCTGGATGTGACTTCACAGTGAATCCATTTGCACTTTTGTGCTACGTAGTCACATCCTTAATCTGCCCTTTATCCCAACAGATTCCAAACAAATGTACAATAATATAAATACAATATAACACAGTTTAATATAATGCACACAATAAAAAGAAGTACAGTCAGACATAAAATGGAGAGACATCAAAGGCATACCATGAGTATGGGTATTAGTTACTATATTAATCATTAGTGAAACCAATTTAAAATGTCTGGGCAATGATCATGGATTTGTCTTGTAAACTTCTAAATACATGGAATGTTCCAGATGTGCTAAATCCACTGTAAGAGACTGCCTTTTCCCAAAGATATGCTATTTCTACTCTAGTAGTAAGCCAATGGAAGAAAACAAAGGTGTTTGTACAGTGTCTTAAATTTTCTGCTCAAACTTCTAGGGCCTGTTGTACTGAAGTAGAAACCTACAAGTACATGTATATACTGGTTTAATCAAAGACCTACTGCCAAAATTTTATTGCTCTTAAGTGCTTACAAGAAGTGAGGTTTTTCTGACTTGGAGGTACACTTATAAGGTACCTCCCGTAAGCTGAAAAGTGTGACAGCTTGGAAATCTCTTTGATCTCATGCTGTTGTAACACTACTCAATGTCAGTGCTAATCCACTTCATTATCATAAGGATTCTCAGAAGATAAAAAAAAACTGGGAAGGAAAATATACAATAATCTAGTTTTGCTGGATTGAATCAATGTTGTAGTGGGATGGGGCTTGACTGTTTGCCTTCTGCAGTTCCGCATCAAAATTGCCTTCCAGCTCTGCCTGTGAAAGAAAGATTCCTATTACTACCAAAAATAATGGGCAAGATCGGAATGTCCCACAAGAAAGATTTGGCCCATGGACAGGAGGTTTTCCCTGACTGCTTTGAACGTTTGTGCTTTATGCTCTACAATCAAGACTTCATGGTTTAACTTGGCTTCTGTCTTCTCAGAATGTCTTGGAGCTGATGGTTCATGATGAAGAGCACTGCCTTGCAGATGTCCACCTCCTTACTGTTCTCTTTGATGTTTCTAAAATCCGACTTGGAGAAACCATTTGCCTCACATTTCCATTGAATCCAAAAGTAAGAAAGTGGGATATTGGAAGAATGCCATTAAGATGTGAAATTACTGCAAGGAGTTGATCTTTCCTCTTTCTCCTCTCCCCCCGTCTTTGTCCCTTTTCGTCTAAGTTTTCCCCATATTTAAAATTGTCTTAATTTTATTGTAATTGCACTTGTTGTAAGCCGCCTAGAGTGGCCTTAAGTGGCTAGATAGGCGGGATATAAAATAAATAAATAAATAAATAAAATAAATAAATTTGTGGGAAGAGAGGGAAGAGCCCAAACATAGTTAGGCCTGGGACAGTGGAATATATCACTGCCAGTTCTTTTCAGCATTCCAAATAGAGGACTGAATGTGAAGAGTCTTGTAGCCATCTCAGCTGTTGCTGAAGAAAAAAAAATTAGCTGCCAATCATATGCCATAAAGATACTGAGGTGGGGGTGAGTAGAAAGGATTGTAAATTTGGGAGGGAGAGAACTAAGATAAAGAGACCAGGAAGGAGAAACAGCTAGGTTGCTTTTGATAAACTTGAGTGGAATGAAGTGATTCTGGCCTACAGAACTGATGCAGGTAATAGAATGGATCCATTCCATTGTGTCACATCTTTAGAGTGTGTACAGAAGCCTTATCAGTGCAAGAATGTGACTACCAGCCAGACTTACTGTGGCCATGGGCAGCAATATCTTTGAGCAAGAGATGATGAGGATATAGGACAATAGATGGTGATTGCCTTCATGTCTTTCATGTAGGCTTCTGAGAAATATCTCTTTGGCTAGAAACAGGATGCTGGATTCAGTTCAAGGAGGCACAGCTGGTAGTCCTGCGGGTCCCACACCATCCTGAATTGCTCCCTGTTGAGTCCTGAAACCAGTGAATCCCCATTCACCTTCTCTGTAACCCATCACATCATAAAGGCTATGGTGGGAGAACACATACACTGTCCCCTTGCTTTGGAGATTGCTTTTACATGTATCTAGTAGAAGGAAACAAAGACCAGACTAAGTGAAGCCTGCTGGGGTGATAGGAGCACACTGATTGACATAACTTATGGAGATGAATTGTCTTAATTTAAGGAATCGGTGTAGACATTATATGTTGCATTTAGAGTTGTCTGGTTCAGCATGCAACTGGTCATGTTGACAAAGTTTTCTTAACTCAGGGTATCTGGAAGTTGAGTCATGGCAACTGGATTCAGGATAATTTGCTTCCCGAAGCAATGTCAGTTGTGTGGCTCACAAATTATAACAAAGTTACATTTTCAAGACACTAAGTGGTGGACGTCTAAATTATCAATCATGACTAATGCAAATGAAGAGAATATTTAATATGTTTAAAGTATTATATCCGTGAAGACTCTCAGTCATCCAGGTGAGGTTATCAGGAAGCTGAGTCGTGGCAACTTCTTTCTTGTCAGGTTGAAACGTTTCACTACTCATCCAAGTAGGATAGGATAAGGTAAAGGTAAAGGTTCCTCTTGACATTTAGTCCAGTTGTGTCCGACTGTAGGTGCTCATCCCCATTTCCAAGCCAGTGTTTGTCCGAAGACAATTTCCATGGTCACGTGGCCAGCGCAAATAGACATGGAATGCTGTTACCTTCCCACTGAGGTGGTACCTCTTTATCTACTTACATTTTTGCATTTTGCATGCTTTCGCACCACTAGGTTGGCAGGAGCTGGGACAAGCGACGGGAGCTCACTCTGTTGCGTGGATTCAGTCTTACGATTGCTGGTCTTCTGACCCTGCAGCACAGAAGCTTCTGCCGTTTAACCCACAGCGCCACCACATCCCTTAAGGATAGGGTAGGATAACTTTATTACAGTCAAGGACCAGCAATTCATCCAAGTAGCTTCTTCAGTCTGAGTAGCAAAATATTTCAACCTAAGAAGAAAGAAGTCCAGTTGCCATGACTCAGCTTCCAGATATGGTTAAAGCATATATAAGCATATGCAATAAACAGTAAGTTATCCACCCTTTTAACCAAATGACTAGTATTAATATCAAGGAATACCACCACAATAACGTATCAGGCAAGAATGTTGACAAACACTTGAAAAGTCAATACATTCAACCATATCTCCATGTTATCTGCCAGAGTATCCTCTTTCAAAACATTGGCCCATCCCATCCACTCCTCACAGTCCTTGCTTCTGCAGTTGGCCACACTGAGGGAGGCAAAAAAGACAGTTACAAGAAATCATGCCTTCTTCTCTATGGTCCCATCTTTATGGAATAGGCTCCTGCTAAATGTAAGCCAAGTCCCCGATCCTCTAAGAGAATGTTAAAGATGGTTTTTGTTTCTTGAGAAGCATTTAAGAACATCCTCATTTAAGTGAATGCATATCTGTCTTTCCTGTTACCACCACTGTTTAGTTTAAGGTAATGTATGTTATTTGTGGGACATGGTGGCGCTGTGGGCTAAACCGCAGAAGCCTGTGCTGCAGGGTCAGAAGACCAAGCAGTCGTAAGATCGAATCCACGTGACGGAGTGAGCGCCCGTTGCTTGTCCCAGCTCCCGCCAACCTAGCGGTTTGAAAGCATGCAAATGCGAGTAGATAAATAGGTACCATCTCGGTGGGAAGGTAAACAGCATTCCGTGTCTAAATCACACTGGCCATGTGACCACGGAAAGATTGTCTTCGGACAAACGCTGGCTCTATGGCTTGAAGAGCGGGATGAGCGCCGCCCCCTAGGGTCGGACACGACTGGACAAAAATTGTCAAGGGGAACCTTTACCTTTACCTATGTTATTTGTAGGCTTGTATTTTGGTTTATGTTGGTTGATTATTCATGGATGTAAACTGCTTAGAGTAGTCAAGAGATCTATAAATGTCAGAAATAATAAATTTCTGGCAGTTCATATAACATGTGCTATTGAATCTCTTTGTATATGAAATAATATCTTATATCTAGCCTGCACTTTCTCTAAATATGTTCCAGAGAGGTTGCCATTTATTGAGAAAGCATCTTATTTTAATAATCCCTTTTCTTAACCTGATGAATTCTGCAAACCTGTTGTAACTGTATTTTGCAAATCATTATTTCATGGCGTCTCCTTTTTGCAGCTACTGTATTTGGATCCTAGCTATTCATCAACCCCCACACAAATTAGTTTTTGGTCTCAATGCATGCTTAACACATCTGTGCTTCGCATTCTTCTCCCCACAAACCAGCCTTGCCTCAGAGCATGGCAAACATATTTCTCCTTTTACAGATCCAAGAAAAGCTGGAAGTAGAATTTAGCCTGGAAAGCATGTGAGTACATCACAGTGATGCAACATATCGTTAGAACGGGCAACCATAGAAAAGTGTGTTATCTACCTACTGTGAAAGGTGACCATGGGAATAACTTTCCGGAGCTCCAGTTATTGGGCAGCTATTGGTCATTCACTGTCCTTTTACACAAGCATCAGTTGCAAAGATCCTCTGCTATTTCCAAACGTGCATGGGAGAACGAGTTCATTTGGAGGCTGCCACAAATACTCAATATGGAGGCAGCCTCTGATGGAACTTGTGGTACCGCAGGGGCATTTTTCTAATGGTTCGAACAAGGGCATGGGAATGACATGGAAATGAGGGGGCTGCTCCACCCCCTGCCAGTTTGAGGATTCTCCGCTCCAAAATTTGGCCTTGTGGGTTTCTGCTGACATGGGACTAGGAGTCCTTTAATTCTGAAATTCTGCTCCCTATTAGATTTCCAAGGCAATTTGCTCCGCCGAAACAAGCTAAACTGCATTATATATCAATCATTTGATCTGACTCTCAGATTTCTTGTAATCTTGCAAAGGTTTTATGTTGTACCCTGAAGGATAACTATCTGGTAATTAAATTAAATTAAATCCCTTCTGTAATAACTGATTGTATCAGAAGGTATAATGTGTTTAGGGCCTTGATATTTGGCAGAACGCCTACTCCCACCAGGTTCTACCCGTGTCACTCATGCGAGCCAGGAGGCGAGGCTGAGGAGCCTAACACCGAGGGAGGCCCGGAAGGAAAAGACAAGAAACCGGGCCTTCTCGGCGGTCGCTCCTCACCTCTGGAACAATCTCCCTCCTGGGATTCGCGGGGCTCCCTCGCTGGGTATCTTTAAGAATCAATTAAAGACATGGTTATTTCGGCAGGCCTTTCCTCCAGACAATCCCTGATGATCCTCTTTCTTTCCTCTCTACTTGGTTTCTTCCCTTGTAAAGTTTTATTATTTATCCTGTTTTATATATGTATATCTTTATTATTTGATTATTGTGAGCTGCCTAGAGTGGTCCTGAGTTGGCTAGATAGGCGGGATATAAATAAAATAAATAATAAGTATAGATAGCCAACTAGAATATAGTAAAATAGAGCAAAGTAAATGAACAAGATGTGTAATGCTGTAAGAGATGCACTGTCTTTGGACAAATGTGTAAAAGCAAACTGAGTTGGTAGCATTTTTACCTTTTCTGACCATCCATATATGGAGTCCTGAGCCCAGGGGTATTGACAGGGTGAAGCAGCACATGAGCAGATTGTTCACGATAAATCTTGCATTCATGTGTCACAATTATATGTGGAGAAAGAAAAAAGAAAATCTCAGGAAAATGCTGAGTTGGTGACAAAGGAGAAAAGAAGTATATTATTTGCCTTAGAAATAAATCTTCCCTGCTTGCCTTGTGGAAAATTATCTATTAAATCATCAAAATGTACACTGTGGCCACAGAACAAAGGAAGCAAATGGGTAGAGACAGAGAAAGAACAGCAAGTGTCTTCTTGCAATGCCTTGTAAGAAGGAATCAAAGAGGATTGTGCCCACTGCCCTTTTAAAATTAATCCCTCAGTCCTTACCATTAACTAACTTAGGATGAGGGCTGTTGGAATAGTAATAAGATAAAATAAGACAGTGCTGAGTTCTGCAGATAGCTGCTGCCGGGCCAGAAGGCCTTCTGTCCTACTTGCACTGCTCAGTCTATGACCCGGCTTTGCCATTTGCGTTTCCTCACTGAGGGGAATGGTATTTTTCCTGGGAACTGAGAGTGGATAAATACTAACAATGACCTGGACTGGGTTGTGCATAGGGTGGGTTGAGCACCAACCTCTGTGCCATTATTTGGGCATGAAGTGGGCTGGAGAGGAATTAGAAATGCCAATCAGAAATGCTGGTTTCAATCACTGAAAATATGTCAAGTATTTTTATTTTGTTTTGCAGCCCTGTTCGTCATGAGCATATCGTTACAAATGGTGTATTAGTGGTAAGTAATCTCAGTCCCCTCCCCAATGATTTCCCTTTTAGCAATCATAGAGTAGTTGCTGGTACAATTCAGATGCATTAAGGTCAATGCATTACAGAGAGGACATAATCAGAAGAGAGAATGCTGGAAGGGATGGATTGTCATCCGATAATTTTTTCACAGATTTTGACAGGAATTGACCCCCCCCAATAATTTTCAATTTAGCCTGTTTTGTTTTATGATTGGTCTTCTGGATATTAACATGGGCCTTGTTTTCTGTTGCAAAGGACTGTTAAAATCATGCCTCTGAAACACTAACCTGATATCAGCTAAAGTAACATGGAGGTTGGCTTGTAGTCCCATGGAAGGGTTTTATAGGTCCACCAGACTGGCTTTTTTGGGAAGACAGTGCTCAGATGGCCATATCTTATCATAATATGATCAAGCCTTTTGGCTGCTCACACTACCCATTGGCTCTTCTCCTCACATGAGAGGACAAATCAGGAAGTCTTCCACTAACCGTGACCAGCCCGAGATATTTTCCAGCCAAGGCAAAAACCAAGATGGCGCTCTTGCCATTGCATATAGGAAAAACAACTCTGGGCGTCCAGGGTGAGTGCTGGTGGGACTGTGTCGGGTTTTTCAGCCTGGTAGACTCTCTGTGAAACCAGTGGGCTAACTAGCTATGCCAGCTTCAAGCAGCCATAGCTCAGGTGTCTTTGGAGGAACTATGAACTGAGTGGACCCAAAGCTATCTGCAATCTATCCCACAAGCTCAGTTTCATAGCCTTACGTAGAAGTGATGCTGATTATAGGGTGGGGTTTTTTCCACAGAGGATTTTGGTGGGTGGAACTGGAATACTGAGCCTGACTTGATCCCTACAGATAAAATCTCCCTTCTGTTAGCAAGATGGTACCTTTGCCTCATCCTACCCTGCCCCTGTCAGTAGACCTACAAATCAGGCATTTTAGGTTGGGCTAGTCAATTTCGTTACATAATTCACCGAATAAGTGTATTATAGGCTTGTTTTGTCTTGCTTTCTCTTTTGATAGTCTCGTGAAATTTCCTGCTTGGAGGTGCAGGCAAATGAGGAAAAGCTGACTAAGAAGAAATCAAGAGGTTATTATTTAACTTTTTTAAAAATAATCAGTTGTAAGTATAAGGTCTGACAGGTTTTAATCATTAAACATTTTAAAGAAGAAACATCATTCTTTTGAACTGCTGTGAACCTGCTTGTTTTTTTTAAAACGTTCTAAATGTGATGTGTGTGACAAACCCAGACCTACTGTTGCTTGTTTTTTTTAATGTTCTAAATGTGATGTGTTATCCCCCCCCCACTTTTATGATATGATTTCAATGCATGTTTACTCCATTTCTACTCACTGACCAAGTAAATTAAAATTTCAGAGTATACTAGCATGGAATTAGATTTTACAGTCAGATAAAAACTGGATAAAACAATGGAACACAAATTAAAGCAACCTTTTCCAGATTTTTTTGGGGGGAGGGGGGAATTTGCCACTCCCAGATCTCCTGCACCCCTAGCCTGCCCTTGCATCATCAAATTTTGAAGGCAAGGCAGAAGAGAAGACGGAGATATGCATTTCCCTTAAAGTAAGCCCTGTAGGGAGTGCCAGACTTATTTTAAAGCAGAACTGCATTTCCCAAAAGTTTCCAGGAGCAAGATTCTGCATTAAAACCAGATAGAGCCTGTGTCTTAAGGAAGCGTGGTTTCCTCCCCTTTTCCTTTCACATGGTATCAGCAAGTGAAGGAGCAAATGATGAGGCAAATATGGCAATATAAACCCTGCAAAACTGGTATGTGTGTGTGTGGGGGGTTGTTGTCAAGATTTAAATGTACATAACTGGTATGTTTTTGTTTATTGAGCCAAATAAAAAGAAATGTATACATATTTAATTTATAGGTATTCATGTGTTTTATGAGGTACTGCCGCTCCAAAGCAGAATAAAATGGCAGCTCTCGCTGTCTGTCATCAGACTTCCACTGTAAAGTATACTCGTATTACGTGTTGGTCTTGTTTTGCTGGTTCAACTCTTAGGGATCAGAAAACCTGTCAGTTCTGCTTTCTCCCCAATTCAATTTTTTTAAATATCTTTTTTTCCCCCTGTCCCAAAAGATTTCCCCAATTGGAGAGAGACATGTGGTGCCTGGTTGCCATGCAGATGTTTGAGCTGAGGAGCTACTCAGAAAAAAAGGGGTTCACAGTCTTAATCCAGCACTGGGATGGCACTCAAGTCCACAATTTAATGGGTCAAAATGCTTAAAAAATTAAGCAACATGTGGATTTTTGTAAATTGTTATCAAAAACAGCCTTGAAATTCTCACCTATCCCTATGTATATGAATTTAAAGGAAAACAAAATGTGTGACAATAATTAACAACAAGGTTTTCTGTGTACATTGTTGCAGAGAAAAAGCTATTATTTACTGTTCAAGGATCCTATGAAGAAACTCGAGAGTTTTCTTTGGACACAGAGTTGCATCCAGCCGAACCTCTGGTGTTTCACTACGTCAAGTATAAGGACTCTGCATTGGAAACTGAGCTAACAAGGAAACCGTATGGCACAGACTCAGTATGTTTCATGTTTTTTGAACGGAGATTTTATTCCTTTTATTGACTTCTATAGCCATTTGTGTCTTTGTATTTGGGTGAAAGATGGAGGTGAATCTGGGGGCAGGTGTGAAATGTACTGGTGTTCTTAGTTGAGAGGTCCACCTATCCTCCAGATTTGGCAAGACTCTCAAATTCTAGCTGCCAGCCAAGACAAAGCAGGAGACGCATCCATGAGTTCTATTCATCAGTGTCTCCATTGCTGATGAGGTTCCAGCTGGCAGCCAAGACTCCATCATTTCATATGGCTTTTAGTGTTTAAAACTAGTTTTAAAGTTTGCTTTTAAAGAATGATTTAAATCTGCTTTTATGTAATATTTTAAATTTGGATGTCCTTCTCTTTAAGTGTTTTTCTAGAAAAGATATAGATGAGAAAGTTTGCCTCACATTGCCTCTGGATTCAGGTCAAGTGGAAAAGAAAATCAATATAGGCAAGGTAAATATTGCTTCATTACAGCTGTTATAGCTCAGTGGGCTTAAGCACCTGGATGTAGAGCCAGGGCCCAGAAGTTTGAATGCTAGCTGTGCTCCCTAGGTCCAGCTGAAATACCCAGAATATATGTAGTTGATTGTGTTATGTGCTCTGCCACCTATGTGGTCTGAGGCAGCTGCACGATGCTTTCAGAGTACCACTAAAAGGAGTAACTGATAAACAACTTCTGATTTTTTATATTTAGATTTTCCTACTTACCTGGGAGGGTTGATAGAAGGTGGAATTGACTTGACAGCACATTAGTCAGTTCCACCTAATTACTGCACTCTACGTGGGGCTGCCTTTGAGGCTGCTGCGGAAACTACAGGTGGTGCAGAATGCGGCGGCCAGACTACTTAGTGGAGTGAAAAAATACCAACATATCTC